TGATTGAACCTCCGTGAACTGCCAGTGCCACACTCCCTGGAAGAAACAGATTAAAGACCCACAGGAGACGTCTTACAGATCTTCTTAGACAGGTGCTTTTCACACCTCCACCGTTTATCCAAGGCTCACTTCACAAAGACTTGGAGGGAGCCCTACCCTTCCTAAAGCACATGAAGTAAACCCAGAGCTAAAGATAAGATGTTCAAGGTTCAAACTCAGAACGGTGTGAATGACAGACAGAAGGGAAAGAGCAGGCCTCCTTTTATTAAAATCCCATATATTTGGCATTTCCAAGATTCGGTGGAAGTCATCATGGGTCACTCACTCATTTGTTCATTTATTCACTCAGCCCGTTTGGATGGAGTGACCACTGTGTGCAAGGCACCATGCTAGGAGCATATGGGTGATCTCTGGCAGGACCGTTGAGATGACTCTCCACCCTACAAGTTTACGAGCGGCCCTGTAGATGTGATTACTGTGTTCCATCTCATTGTTAACACCCAGGTATTTGGGAGTAAGAGTCCTTGATCCAGTTTTCCCAGTCAACCCACATACTTTAGGTAAGGGTGAATGTATATAATACGTTAGGTAAAATCTCCCATAAACCAAAAGTATCTGTGATTCAAACTTAAAAAAAAATCTAAAAATTCCAGAAATAAACTGTTAGGGATTGAATTGTGTCCCCCCAAATTCATTTGCTGAAGCCCTAACCCCCAAATGTGACCATTTGGAGATTGGGCCTTGAGGGAGGTAATTAAGGTTAAATGAGGTCATAAGGGTAGGACCTTCATCTGATGGGACTGATATCTTTATAAGAAGAGGAAGAGACACCATAGATCTTTCTCTTTCCACATGGGCACAGAAAATAGGGCATGTGGGGACACAGGAAGAAGGTGACAGTCTACAAGCAAGGAAGGAAAGGCCTCAACCAGAAACTAGCTCTAAGCTAACTCTAACTAGCTCTAACCAGAAACTAAGCACCTTGATCTTAGACTCAGCTTCTGGAACTGTCAGAAAACAATTTTCTGTCATTTAAGCCACTTAGTTTGTACTGTTTTGTTATGATAGCTAGAGCAGACTAATACAGAAACATTGCAAAAATCCCCTCAACTGTTTTCACAGGCTCGTGGCACTTAATACATTGCAAAGTACACGGAGTAGACAATAGGTATTTGCTAAGTGAGTGGTAAAGAGAAAACTCAGGGGACCCCTGGTCCATGAAGTCATGCAGTGGGCTAGAAGATGGGACCAGTTACCAGGTGATGACCTCTCCTCTATCTGGAAACTGCAGTTGCTCAGCTAATTTAGGGCCTCTCTACTTTATGGGAAGACTCTGCAAAGGTTGGATGATGACCCTAAAACAGCTTGAACTTGAAAATAAAAATGAGAACACTTGATCTTTTTTTCCACATGCTCTTCCCTGACCTACTTCCTTCTTTAGCTGAAGAGTAAAGGCAGGATGACAAGCCAAGTTCACCCGCACTCTTGACCCAATGTTCATGGCAACCCCTTCTTGAAGAAGATGCATGGCCAGTTCTTTGGTTACAAATTGCAGTCCCTTTGGATATTGGGAGAAGGCCTGCACTGAGCAAAATTATAAAGAAGGATTTGCTTGTTTTCAGTGTGACTTCTTCCTAGCCCACACGTGCCAACCACTCCCAAGTTACCTGGCTGCCTCACCGCACATCTGATCTGACAAAATAATCCTCAGTAAAGTCTTAGAGATTAAGATTTAGTGACTGATACTGGCCATGCTATAGGTTAGGTTTGACAGAATTTACACATAGAAGCTATTTCTTTCTTTCTAGGTTTCCTAGCTGAAATTTGAGTAACTCGCAGCAAGTTAATAATGGCACTTAAGCTAGAGAGATGGTCCCAGTGGCCAGACTTTCTGAATAAGAAGTATACAAATAATGAGCAAAAGTTTAGGATGCTTTTCCACTTAATTATGTTATTTCTATTAAAACAGAAGGTTTTATTAAAATAGTCAATTAGCTAATAGGAATCTTGCTAATAATTGTATGGTTTGCCTTTGGAAGGATGATCTATAATTCAGAGCATAATTTAAGAAAATGCACATACTTTACTCAGTGACGATTTGCTGTCCCCACCGTCTGGTTATATTGCAAATTTGAGAAGAATGGCACAATCTAACTCAGCCAGTTGGAGGATTGTAGGAGGAAACCTACAATTTTCCATACTTTCATAGGGTTTGAACTCCCTGAAACCTGTTTTTACTATAAATTTAGCTGCCTTACCCAACCCTAATGCTTTCATTTATACTTAACACTCTCCCTGTTAATCCAGGAGGTATCTTTCCCACTCCCAGTCAACTGAACTACTTTTTATAAAAATTCAAACTGTACTTTTAATTATTTTTAGTAAAGCTGAAATGTCATAGTTAAAAATACATTTTAACAGGGGCGCCTGGCTGGCTCAGTTGTTGGATCATGTGACTCTTGATCTCACGGTTGTAGGTTTGAGCCCCACATTGGGTATAGAGATTACTTTAAAAAGTAAAATCTTTAAAAAATAAATAAAAATAAAAAATATATTTTAGCAGACTTCCAGTTAAAGATAGCAGAGTCAAGATAAGTTTTACCCTACCCTTTTTACTTAAAACCCACCAAAAACAAGAATAACAAAACACGAGGGAGAGGAGACATAATCTTTAATGAAGCAAGGGAGCAGCTACCACCCCCGGCATGGACTTTGACATTGGACTTAAATGCAGGATGCACCCGAGTAAGCAAGTTACAGGTGTCCTCAAGGATACAGTTCACATACCTGTTTTGAAAAAATAGATGGGGTTCCTGGGTGTCTCAGTCAGTTGAGCGTCCAACTCTTGATTTCAGCTCAGGTCATGATCTCATGGTTGGTGAGACCGACTGTGCTTATAGTGTGGAGCCTGCTTAGGATTCTCTCCCTCTCTCTCTTCCTGTCTCAGACTTGTGTCCATGCGCACTCTCTCTCTCACTCTCTCAAAATAAACATTAATAAATGTTTTAAAAATATTAAAAATAAATGTTTTTAAAGATAAAAATAAAAGTAGATCCCTCCTACTTCGTATCATATACAAGAATAAACTCCCACTGGATCGACTATCTAAAAAGCTATCTACACCTCAAGAAACAACAAGTGTTGGAAAGGATTTAGAGAAAGAAAAAGGAACCCTTGTGCACTGTTGGTAGGAATGGTAACAGTGCAGCCACTGTGGAAAACAGTATGGAGATTCCTCAAAAAATTAAAAGTAGAACTACCATAGGATCCAATAATTCCACTCCTGGGTATTTACCCCCCAAATTACAAAAGCACTAATTTGAAAAGATATATGCACCCCTATGTGAATTGAAGCATTATTTACAGTAACCAAATTATGGGAGCAGCCCAAATGTCCATCAATTGACAAATGGGTAAAGAAGATGCGGTGTGTGTGTGTATGTGTATTATATGATATGATTATATTATATGATATATATATATATAATGGAATATTACTTGACCATAAAAAAGAATGGAATCTTGCCATTTGCAACAACATGGATGGAGCTAGAGAATATAATGCTAAGTGAAATAAGTTAGTCAGAGAAAGAGAAGTACCATATGATTTCATTCATATGTGGAATTTAAGAAACGAAATGAATGAACAAAGAAAAAAAGAGACAAGCCAAGAAAGAGACTGTGAAGAACAAACTGCTGGTTTACCAGAGGGAAGTAGGTGGCGGGGAGGGGAGTGAGTGAAGGAGATTAAGGTACACTTATTATGATGAGCACTGACTAATGTATAGAAGTGCTGAATCACTATATTGTACACCTGAAACTAACAACACTGTATGTTAGCTAACTGTACTGTAATTAAAATTCAATTTTTTAAAAAAATTAAAAAGCTATATAAATCTAAATTTATGTAAATAAAATCCTACAAGGACTAAAAACATGCATAAGTATCCAGTAAATTAGTAATTATATAAATAAACATGTATTAAATTGTAAAAATTAAAATTAAAAAAAAAACATGGATGGACTCCTCTTGAACCTGGAGGTAGGGAAAGGCTTTTAACTGTGACTCAGAACCTCAATGTGATAAAAGAAAAATTAATAAATCAAATTACATTAAAGAAGACTTCCTCATATATATAAAGTTAAAAGGCAGCTAACAACCTTGGAAAATCATTTCAACATACATCACAGGTAATGAGTTAATATATGTATTATATAAACAACTATTTTTAAATGGGGGAATATTTAAAAACCATGAAATAAAAATGGGCAAAAGCATGAATCAACAATTCACAGAAAAAGATACAAAAATGGTCCTTATATGTATAAAGATATGTTCAGCCTTATTCATGATGAGAGAAATGCAAATGAAAACTACATAGAGATACCATTTCTCATCATTGGATTGACAGAAATTAGGAAGCATTACAACACACAGTGTTGGTGTGACTGCAGGGAAATAGGCTCTCTTACAGATTACTGATGTGAGTGCAAATCGTTACAACCCTCATAAAGGGAATTTGTCTAGCTAACAAAACCACATATGCTTTTACCTTTTGACCCAGCAATTCCACTTCTGAGGATTTTCTCTGGAGATACACTCCAACGATAGAAAATACTAGAAACAACCTAGTTATGCACACTCAGCAGAGTGATGGAATAAACTGGTACAGTCACACAATGGAGTACTATGCAACTGTAAAAAATGAAGAAGATCTCTAATCATTGATTGAGCATGATTTCTAGGATGTAGGTTAAGTGAAAAAAAAAGTAAAGCATGTAAAATCATCTACAGTATGCTGTCTTTTGTGAAAAGAAGAGAGGAAATTAGGAAATATGTTTCTTTCTATCTACTCATTTGGCCAAAGAGAAATACTATAAACTAGAAACTAACGCGATTGGTTACCTACAGGATATGATTAGAAATGGAGAGAAAAGGGTAGAGGGAATGAGAGGGAGAATGACACTTTTTCAAATATAACTTTTTGTTCAATCCCTAGCTTTGGAACCACCTTAATATTTCAAACAGAAAGAAAGAATTTAAAAAGGAAGAAAGCAAGGAAGGAAGGAAGAAAATCCGCAAGGATGGGGGAGGAATTTCAAAACTGAACACAAACAAAAACAAACTGAACCATAATTCAAATGAATAACGTGACCACACTGAAATGGAGGAAAAAGAACTAACCCAATTAACTTTTGAACACAGTATTTGGACTCAATACTCTTGGGCTAAAAACAAAAACAAAACCCACTAAATAAATATTGAACTCTAATTAGTAGGCTTCATTTTCTCAGAGGCATGAGCTAGCAATTCTGAAATTACTTTCTGAATATTCTAGGATTGAGCTAATAAGTACATTTATTGTGGATAATGGATATCAGGTTTATTACCATCAGAAAAAGGAGTTACAAATATGGAAAGAGAATCATAGAATGGACCCTCTAGCATTATGTTGAAATGGGAGGTATTGGTGTAAACTTGCAGGTTTTATTCCAGTTAAATATAGAAATGGATATAGATTGTGAGGGCATGTATGTGTATGCATGCATGTATGTACATACATATGATGATTCAGATTTCTGTAAATCTCAGTTCTGTTTGCTGAGAGAAGCACTAACACCCCACCAACAATGAACACACCTCGTGCCCAGATCTTGGTTTCTAAGTACTATTCTCCACCAAGAAACCAGGGCTCTTTGGAACAATGTCTGGCCCCAGTCTGGAAAGGAAAAATGTAAGATAAGCCTGGGCTATCGTGTGCCAAGAAGGAAAGAAAACAATAGTAAAGAAATGCTGCAGGAATTATCAATATACGTCAAAAGGACACAGTAGCCAGCTTGAAGGTGTTCCTGGTGGCAAAATAGGGGGCAAGTTGAGCATCAAAATAAATGGTAATGGCAAAGGATTATAACCTATTGAATCCATGAATCCATATTGATATAAATAAATAATAGGGGGAAGAAAAGTTCTCCCTTTTTATAAATCTAATATTTTTTATGTTTCTGTACTGATTTTTTCAGTAGTTTATGGAGACAGAATTAATATACTGTACAGTTCACCCATTTAAAGTATATAGTTGAGGGACACCTGGGTGGCTTAGTCGGTTAAGCAGCCAACTCTTGATTTCAGCTCAGGTCATGATCTTGCAGTTTGTGGGATCGAGCTCCAAGATGAGCTCTGCACGGATCTTGCTTGGATTTCACGGATTCTCTCTCTTCCTGTCTCTCTGTTCCTCCCTGACTCAAAATAAATAAATAAATGTGTATATAATATGTTATATATATATTATACTTATATATATTATATATATACTTAAAGTATACAGTTAAGTGGTTTTAGTACACTCACAGAGTTGTGCAGCCATGACCACATCTAATTTTAGAGTATCTTTATCACCCTAGAAAGAAACCCTGTCCCCATCAGCAGTCACTCTTCCCTTCTGACCCCATCCTCGGCCCCAGGCTGGTCTATTCTCTATCTTTGTAGATTTTTCTACTCTGAACATCTCATGTGAATGGATTCACACAATATGTGGTCATTTGTCACTGGCTTCTCTCATTTGTGTCTTCAAAGTTAATCCATGTTGTAGCATGTATTCATTACTTTACCCTTTTTTATTGCCAAATAATATTCCACTGTATAGACATACCATATTTTGTTTATCCATTCATCAGTTGGTGGACATATGGATTATTTCCACTATTTAGCTAGTATGAATAAATATATGAACTATGTGTACAAGTTTTTATGTGTACAGATTCATGAAAATTCATGTACATATTTTTATGTGGATCTATGTTTTCATTTCTCCTTGGTAGATTTCTCTAGGAGTGATTTTGCTGGCATATGGTAACTCTGTGTTTAACATTTTGAAGAACTGCCAAGCTGTTTTCCACAGCAGCTTCACTCCCTTCACATTTTGCATTTTATATTCCCACTAGCAAAAGATGAGTGTTCCAGTTTCTCCTTATCCCATTATTATCTGTCTCTTTGATGATAGCTGTCCTGCTGAGTGTGAAATGGTATCTCGTTGTGGTTTTGAATTTCGTTTCACTAATGACTAATGATGCTGAGCATCTTTTCATACATTTATTCTCCAGTTGTAGGTCCTCTTTGGAGAAAAGCCTATCCAGATCCTTTCCCATTTTTTATTGGGTTATTGATCTTTTTATTATTGAGTTGTAGCAGCTCTTTGTGTACTCTAGATACAAGTCACTTATCAGGTATATGATTTGAAAATATTTTTTTCCATTCTGTGGGTGAGTGGTCTTTTCACTTTCTTGGTTGCATTATTTGCAACACAAATGTTTTTAATTAAAAAAATATTTATTTATTTGAGAGAGAACAAATAAGAGGTACAGAGAGAGGGGGGACAGAGGATCCAAAGTGTGCCTTGTGCTGAAAACAGAGAACTTGACATTGGGCTCAAACTCACAAACTATGAGATCATGACCTGAGCCAAAGTTGGACACTTAACTAACTAAGCCACCTAGGTGCCCCAATGTTTTTAATTTTGATGAAGTCCAATTATCTATATTTTCTTTTGTCATTTGTAGTTTTTGTGCCTTATCTAAGAAGGCATTGCCTAACCCAAGGTCTTGAAGATCTACTCTAATGTTTTCTTCTAATAGTTTTATTTTTAACTCCTAAATTTGGGACTTTGGTCCTTTTTTTTTTTTTTTTTTTTTTTTGAGCATCGTATAATATAAGGCATCCAACTTAATTCTTCTGCTTATAGATATCCAGTTGTTCAACACCATTTTGGAAAAGACTCATCTTTCCCACTGAATTGTCTTGGCACTCTTGCCGAAAACCAAGTGACCATAAATTTAAAAGTTTATCTCTGGACTTTCAATTCTGTACTACTCATCTGTACATTTATCCTTTAATGCCAGTACCACACTGTTTTGATTAGTGTAGCTTTGAAGTAAGTTTTAAAATTAGAAAGTGTTAGTTCTCCAACATTGTTCTTCTTTTTCAAGATTGTTTTGGTTGCCCTGGGACTCTGGCATTTCTATTATCAATTTTAGAGTCAGCTTCTTAATTCTTGTTAATTTCTGCAAAAAAAAAAAAAAAAAAGCCAGCTAGGATTCTGGTAGGAATTGTGTTGACTCTATAGATCAATTTGGGGGAGTATTACCATCTTTAGAATCCTAAGTTTTCTGGTTCATGAACATGGGATATCTTTTTATTTATTTAGACAATCTTTAATTTCAGAAAGCTTTTTTTTTTTTTACTGTTGAAAGTCAACTTATAATTGCAGAAGGAATGATGATATTAAAAGATCATCATTTGGCAGTCATCCTTTGGCAGTAATGATTGATTTGGGTGAGAAGCATCAATGAATACTAAAACGAGTGGGTTAAAGTTTGAGAGGTAACAAGATATTTACATACTCTCAAAGTATCTCCTCAAAAGATACTTATTAATCAAGGGCAAGATGAAATAGTATCTTTGCAGTGGAGAAATGCTGTAGGCACCACCTTAACCTTACTTTCTCATTTAATCCTCCTGCCAAAATTCATTGAAAGACACCCTGCCTTTAACCCCATTCTACAGATGAGGCCCCTAAGGCCTGTAGAGACAAAGTAACTTGCACAAGGTTACACACCTAATAATTGAAGTTTTTCTGATCCCAAAGCCTGTGTTCTTAATTGCAGTGTTATACTGAACATTTTATTCCTGCCAACAAGTCTATTGTGTCAATAATTTATTTAAGTGGAGAAGTGTCAATATTGCTCTGAACGAAAGTCATTTGCCTATCAATAAAAGTCACAAATTATGGCTCTTTATGCAAACATCCTCCTTGGACGCTTAGCCAGGAAAGAGCATCTCTCTTGAGAAATTTGTCTGTGTTGTTTTATCAGACAACTCATTTCTCTTTTTTCTTCTCTGCCAGGGAACTCAGGCTAAAATAAATGTTCAAGTGGAGTAACTCATTTGGATGCCTGGCAAAGTCTGTTGATAATTGGGGAGGTGTATTGTTCTTATTAGTTGTCCTGTTTGTATTGTGTTTAATTTTGTAAGCAACCCCAAATCCTATTTGGAAGTCAGTAGGACACAAATAGCAAATTAGTTAATGGGAATGTGCTAAACATTGTGGAATTGTACCCTTCAGTAGTGAATTGTCTGATCTGTATAACTCAACTAAGTTACATTTTAAATACAACTCATTTTTAAAATGAGTACATTCATTAAGGAAGTTTAGAGATACAAAGAAAAGCCAGGTGAGGGGTTGTGAAGCTGTCAAAGACCTTGTACTTGGAGAGGAGGCACACAGCCTCTGGAAATCAGGGAGGGTTGAATGATAAGAAATGCAGGGCAGGTCGGTGCCAATGTGCATTCTTCAACTAGATGAGCGGGAAGACTGCTGTGTAATGTGTACCATGGAATAGAAGGAGAATTCTCTGGTGTACGGGCTCAGGTCATGAATCCTTGAAGAAAAGGCTGGGTGGTGGACTGAGCAATGCCTCTCATATCCGGCTGAGAAGCGTGGAGCTGATTTTCCACACCAGGGTTGCAGACCGGCAGCTGTCATGGCATATCTGGCCACAGATTGTTTTCTCTGGCCCACACACTATTTTGACAAATTTTTAAATTAGTTGCCAACATTACAAATAGGAAAATTCATGCAAAAAGCCAGATTTCCGGCTTACCCGGGGAAAATCAGAAAACCTGTCCACATGGCCTGTATTCTCACTTGACAAGGGTAACCTGGAGTTGAGAAGCACTTGTTCGCTGTGACCAGGCATGTATGTGCTCCTACTCAGTCCTGCCTTCCTCACTTAGTCATGCTTCCTGCCTGGTCCCCATAGGCATTGGAGTCTGTGACTGTCACCCAGGCAAGAGAGAGTTGTTGACATTTTGTGAGAATGAAGAGAGACATTGATGCTTTATGTTTTATGATGCTGAATCATAGGATGGACTGAAGGGGAGAGAGGAGATTATAAACAGAGAGACAAATAGGAGTCCAGAATGAGGGTGGAAAGAAAAATATTGTGGGGAAAGAATAGGCAGGAATCCAGAGGTGACTGAAATCAGGAGATGGAAATTTCCCCATGCACAAAGCAGTCTCAGAGTTGCCGGGGAGAAGACACTGCAGGGTTCATTTGCTGGGCACTTGGGGACGTGGTGCTGTATGCCAGCCACCCTTCATTGTGCAAAGGTCAGTACTTGCCCGCTCCCTCTTTCTCGTCCCTCAGGCGTATCAGGGGAATAGGCTCCGGCCATTGTACCCAGAGTTCTG